CAGGGGATGAAATCAACAAGCTGAAACTTGCAGGTGGGAGGTCAAAGACCTGAAGTTGGTTTTGTTTGTTTGTTTGTTTGTTTGTTTGTTTTTTTAAGCTATTTTTGCAAGAGGAAAGTGGAGACATCTAAGTTGAAAATTTCTTTTATAAAACATTAGAGCTTAATCTTAGTTCAGTAGCACAGGATAAACAGCCTCCGATGGTTTGCACATCTACATGTGACTTCGTTTTCCTTATTTCTAAGCTATTGAAACACTGCTGATCCATGCCACTGAGATCCCAGGAGCTTTCACATCTTCCCAACCCCCAGATAAAGCAGGTGGATCAAGTAATGCCTTTTTCACTGTCACATGAGTGCAGATGAGGTATATGGTTGATGATTTTCACTGCCTGTACCAGGGTGGATCCAGAGACAGCAAGTCACACCTGACAGTGCTCATCAGGAAAAATGAAATGGACAGGTTTGAGATATGTTTCCTGCCTTAGATTTATATTTTCCTAAAATTGCTATCAATTCTTTTTCTTTTTTGATATAAGATCTCAAGTATCCCACAATGGTTTAGACATGCTCTGTAGTGAAGGATGACCTTAAGCTTCTGATCCCCAGCCTCTCCTTCACACATGACATAATTCCAGATGGTTCATTTGGTACTGGGGATTGAACATGAGGATTCATATAAACTAGGCAAGTACCCTACCAACGAAGCTACATTCCCAGTCCACAATTCTATTTCTTGTGGCTCCAAGCTGTCAGTGCCAGCCACTATTGTGCTGCTCACAATCAGCACAGCAAATGGAAACAATAAGTATAAGGCAGATTTTAAAAAGAGAGAAACTAGAGAGAGGATCTGCTCTAAATCAAAGTGCACTTTATGGTATAGAAGCTAAAAACTGAGCTTGTTTTCTTCCAGCAAAACAAGCAACTGTGAATAACCTGTAAGGAATGAGAGCAGTTGTGAGTGGTGACAGCAACCGTTTTTAGTAGACTAGTCACTTCTTCAGCATGCTCGGCATCACGCAATGAATGTGATTATTCTGCCTGATCACAGAGAGGGCACTAATGTAACATCCTAAGTGGCACCAGAAGCTTTGCTAAAGGCATCTGTCCAGGCTCTAACACTGGGCCGTGGACAAAAGGGAAGCCTCTTATCCCTGTCATCTCAGGTTTTCTAATCCTAATAGCCCAGCAACAGAAATAAATAAACCTTAAGCATGAGCTGAGTCAGTATGAAGAGAAGCATTTGATATCATGTATAAACCAAATGAAAGGGTATGTACGGGATGGTTTGAAGTGATTAACATTTTTTATGCTTGTCATGGGTAGATGATAGCCTGTGAGTATCCTGCAAACATGCATATCATGTTTGAAGAATGAAATAGCAATCCATGTATGAAGTACTATGAGCTGGGTCACAATAATTAGTTTCTGTCTCATGAGTAATGAAACTAGGACTCTGAGTACAAAAAGCTCATGACAGTGACCAGCCTAATACCCTCATTCTTGGCTCCCTCACATATCTGACTGACAGAACACAATCTGCAGGGTTGGTAAGTGAGTCAGGAGATGGGAGTTGTAAGGAGAATCATGCCCACAGCAGTGGAATCTGTTTGGTTAATTCAGATAGCATTTGCATGTTCAAGTGTGGTATAAGAAAGAGAGCTCTGCAGACTTCATAGAAAAGTAGGAGACAAAAAAAAAAAAAAAAGGTTTGGGGGCAAGCTAAGAATATTTGCTACTTTTCTTTCAATATGACCAAGTAAGTATCTGACAAGATGCAACTTAAAGAATGAAGGGCTTATTCAGGTTTAGAGTTCAAGGGGTTTCAAGCCATGGTGTTGAGAAGGCATGGTAGCAGGAGTGTTGGGCACTTGACCACATCATATCTGTAAGCAGGAAGCATATAGCAGACAGGAAGTGGTTCAGGCTGTAGAGTCCCAAGGTTCGCAGTCCCCAGTAACCCATTTTAATCCAGCAATGTTCTACATCCTAAAGATTCCATAGCCTATCAAAACAGCACCACTGAGAATAACATGTTCAAACACAATCAAACCACAGCACTAAAGGAGAAAGTTCAAGGTTAACACTATGGATAGAGAATGCATCCCTAGGCCAATTCCTCCATGGAAACAGAACCCCTAAGTTCTTTCTGACCAGAACAGGCCATCCTGCCCATTCAGATCCCTAATAGTCTCTTATCCAATTTGCCTTGGACAGGCTCAACCTCAGTTTACCCCTTGGGTGTGTGGACATCTCTTCTTTTAGCTGATTAGATTCCCCCAGTTCCTGGATCTACAAATGCCTTGCCTGCTAGACTAGACTAGATGTCCTCCAGAGCCAAAACACCTTCCAGTCAAACAGAAAAAATGTCAGACTTCATGAAGTGACAAGCTGGCTGCCTGCTGGGATCTCCTCTCTTCTCCATGATACTCTTTAGCTTAAAATGTTAATTCTAAATTTCAATGAAAGAAAAACATTTCTATGAGTATGTATTTGGCCAAACTATCCTTTCTATGAGTACCAAATACGTGATTTGAATTTGAAAGTTTTAGAAGAAGGTTTTGGAGCACAGTGAGTGGAATGCTGACCTAACATATGTGAACCCCCGGGTTCCAACCCCAGCATTGCATAAAGCCAGTATGATGTACAGACCTATAATCCTTGGGAGGTCAAACAAGAGGGTAAGCATAGCAAAGGCCAGCCTGAGATATAGGAGACTCTGTCTCAAAAAAAGTGAAGGGTTCTTACTTTGCACCCACATAAATTGCAAGTTGTGAGTTCCTCCCAGCTCAGCATAAACAGTATTTTCTTTGTCTGTTTACTTGTTGTGTGCTTGTGGACACACATTTATGTATGCATGTGGAAATCAGAGGACAACTTTTAAGAATCAGTTCTCTTCTATCTTGTTAAGGCAAGATGTCTCTTGTTACTTCTGCTGCACTGCGGCTATGTGGCCCCACAGGCTTCCTGGTGGTTCTTTCTCCACGTCCCTTCCTGCCTTAGGAGTGCTGGGATCACAGATGTGAGTCCCAGCATCTGGCTTTTTACATGGGTCCCAGGGATCAAACTTGGGTCATCAGGCTTATGCAGTTAATATCTAGCTCTTGCACTCACTGATCCATCTCTTCAGTTCAGGCAGCATTTATCTCACATGTGTATCCCAGGAAAGTGAAACACCTTAGCGTCTCCTGTAGACACAACTAAACACACAGGAAATTCAAGTGCGTGGAGGAGCAAACATTCTATCTCCTAGTCCTATGAATAAAAATGTAAAATATAATCTATTTTTGTTAATAGTTTCTCTTCCAATATCTAATGACTAGAAATTTATTAAAATTCTTCACACCGAATCCATTGTTCTGGAAACAAGAGTGAGTGGGAGAGATGTATGCCCTTGGAGACAGGCGACTGTGCTGTGGTCAGGCTGCAAGAGAGCCCAGGGTTCACAGATACTCTGAGCACTGTCGCTACTCTGAATCACCAGAATTGAACAATTCTCTTACCCAGAAAGGATAAAAGTGCTCCCCTCTCTGACTTTTTCTTATTGTCTAGGTACTAGGATATCTTAAGGAACAAATTTTCATTTCTCAGAAAGTTCTTTTTATAAAAACAGTCATTTGAAAAAAGTCATTAAATTAAGAACTACTGAATACCTATTGAAAGTCTCAAATCACCAATAATAACAAGACAAAAGTTCTTCTCTTAAGGAAACTAGGTCTCACCAAGTTACAAACATTCAAACATTGAGGTACCTGTCAGTCATGGGAGAGCTCTGAGATTCTCAACAGGGAGAGAATGCAGTCACTTTGCCTTTTTCAAAGGACAGGAATAAGGAAGGAACTCTGAAGCTGTAGGGTTTCAACAAAATCAACTAATGCCTCTGAGCATTAGCTTCCTCATGTGCAAAACTAAAAATTAATAAGCTCAAGTTAGCCATCCATAACGTACAGAGTCCCCTATGAAGGTGAGCAGACCTAGGTTTAAACTCAGCTCTGTTTTAGTCAGGAAGGCCTCCTTATCTGAGTGATGAGTGTAGGACCACCGTCTCACAGAGCAGCACTAAAGGACAACAGTACAGTGGGTAGAACAGGATTCCCACACATCTTACTCAGAGAAGAGCAGAGGTCATTGTCACTCTGTGAGGAGGGACAGGGAAGTATGACATTTGCTAAGAACCATTAGCTCTGTACTAGATTCAGAGGTTTTGTTTGTCTACTCATTTTATACCTATACATACAAACTTTAAAAAAAAAAGTTAGAGGGTTTTTAGAAAAATTAAAGTGATTTTCAAACAGATATAAAATCAAAATGTGGCAAAGAATTTATTTTACATATAATGGGAAAACTAGAAAGAGACTTCAAGTGAGGAGCTGGGAAGAAATTTATCAGGTAACGTGCATGCTGTGCAAGCAGGAGAAGCTGAATATGAATCACCAACACCCATGTAAAAGCCAGGTTAGCTGTGTCCTCACACTGGGAAGATGCAGAGACAGACAGATTCCAGGAATGTATTGGCCAGCCAGTCCAGCCAAATCAACAAGCTCCCAGTTCAATGAAAGCCTCTGTCTCAAGTGTTGATTTCTGGCCTCCACATGAACACACATAGACAAGTATACCCACATACACACATGCACACCACACACACAATTACAACTAATTCAAGGACATTTGTTTTAAAAATCAACAAATTTATAGTAGATAAAAAACTGATTGACATCCACAGGTATATCATTTGGACAAAATATATTTTAATTTCTGTGTTTTAGAATCATTTACATTACTATAATTTTTATATAATTTACAGTATATCGAAATGGCTAAAAGACAACAAAAAAGTCAACTGCTTCAGAATCAGATTACCTTCAAGGGCTACAGATTTTTCTTTGTTCAACTGTTTTCCAGAATACTTTTTACATCATTATGATTATCTTCATCTGCAGTGGGAAAAATGGAGTCATTCCATGAGTGTGTGATGACAGAAAAGTATCAATTCAAACTCACCTGGGTCCAAGCACATCCCAGTCGGGCGCTACTACTTGCAATTGCTGGGCTACGCTTTGTCTTTCACATTGCAGGAATGAACAGCCAGTACATGCGCAGGGAAGTCTTCTGCTGCGAGACCTGCGATGAGCTCAAAAGCTTCTGGGAAAAGGAAATTAGCAAACAGACTTGTTACCGAGAACTTGAAGAAGTTCGCCAGGAGAGAAGCGCTCTGAGAAAGTATGTGGATTGCTTTTCTGTCCTAAATTTCATTGGGAATATATGAGATGTGGAGAGGGGCCCGATTCTCTTCATCACTTACTGTTATAAGGTGGGTGATGGATTCTGTACTACAGAGGAAGGAAACAAGAACAAGATATGGAGGAAAGAAGTGTACTAAACTCACAAGTCCCAAAGATGTGTCTCCACACATTGTTCAGCACATCAAAGAAGGAGCAAGTTTTAATCAGAACCTAGGAGCCAGGAAGAAAGAGTAAGCCATATCCTTTGGGGGATTTCCATGGCAAGGCAGGAAAGAGAGGACAGTTCAATGTAGGCTGGTTTGAACAATCCAAGTAGGCTTCTGGCCGGCTAGTCCCCAGTACTGGCTCTAGGCTGCTTTCCAAAGGGGAGCATAGTGGCAGGTGTGGAAGTTGAACATGGAAAAAAAATGAAGCTACAGACTTGGGTGTAGATGGTTTGGAGATTGGCTAAGCCTTTTGCTAGGACAAGAATGTAACTCAGCTGTTAGAGGGCCTATCTAGAATGCACAAAACGCTGGGTCAGATCCCAGCACCAAAGAAGGTGTGAGACAAACACCTGTAATCCCAGCACTGGACAGGTAGAAGCAGAAGGTTCAGAAGTTCCATTTCATCCACCTAGGCTACATGAGACCCCATCTTACAAAAGAGGGTGAGGAACTAGTCCTGGGAGGAGCAGTCTCTCTCCAGCCAGGGCATTTTTAAAAGAAGTCAGAACATAAAATACAGAAGATCAGGGGTTGGGGATTTAGCTCAGTGGTAGAGTGCTTGCCTAGCTAGCGCAAGGCCCTGGGTTCGTTCCTCAGCTCCAGAAAAAAAAGGTCAGAAACCAAGGTTAATAGAAGCACTCATTCAATATTGCCAGTCTGAATGGGGTTTATTGGGTGCACCTACAGCCTGTTTCTCACTCAGCTGTCAGCACTGCTGATGTTTTAGAGCCAGAGAACTGCTTGCAGTGGAAGGCTTCCTTGCCCTTTGTAACATGTTCAGTAGTATTTCTTGCCTCAAAAAATTGGCTGTCAGCAAGATTCCCATTTCACATTGTGGTAAAGGTACCTGGAGGGCAAAGTGGTTCCTATTGAGAACCAATAGCTTACAGATATCAACAATACTTTCTTCAACATGACAAAAATCAAGTTTTGGGTTGTCCAGAAAGCTCAGCAGGTAAAGGAACTTGTCACATAAGCCTGAAGACCTGTGTTTGATCCCCATAGCCAAAATGAAGGCTGAAGGAGGGAACTGACTCCACAAAGTTTTCCTCTGACATCCACATACATGTCATGATATATGTACCCACATATACACAACATGCATGTGCACAGGCACACATACACAATAATAATAACTGATAATAATTTGAATTAAAAAGGTTCTGTTTCCTACAATTGTTTACTCAAGAGATGGGTGTGGTGATACAAGCCATAATCCTAGCAGTTAGGATGTGGAGGTAGAAGGATTAGAATTTCAGGATCATTCTCATCTACCTAGAGAATTAAAGGCCAGCCTGAGCTACATGGAGCCTGTGTCAAAAATAAATGAATAAAAATAAGAATAAAGCCAGGCGGTGGTGGCACATGCCTTTAATCCTAGCACTCAGGAGGCAGAGGCAGGCGGATCTCTGTGAGTCCGAGGCCAGCCTGGTCTACAAGGTGAGTTCCAGGGAAGGCACAAAGCTACACAGAGAAACCCTGTTTCAAAAAACCAAAAAAATAAAGAAAAATCCCTTCTTTTTTAAAAATAGCTCTTCACAATTATAATCCCAAAATAGAAGGCCAAACTACCTTTCAGGGTTAGCTTGACAGATCTGTCTGTATGAAAAACTAGTTCACGAAAAGCTTCCACATCTGGAAGGACACATATTAAGAGTTTGAGGGGAAGGTAAAGCAGTCTCTCCAGCCTGCCTGTTCCCAAATACCCAACAGCCACTTCTTAAATAACTGATTTCCTGCCTGGCTCTCATCCTGCCTTACCATAGGTCAAAACAGCTACTTTATTAACCAATAGTAGCAACACGTATTCACAGTGTGCAGAAAGACCATCCCACAGCACAGTCTTTTTTTTTTTTTCATTAACAAATGGATTTCTTGTTTCAGTTGAGAGTCTACTGAAAAGGGATCATTATTTACACAGCTGAGCAGCAGGAACAGCTCAACCCTCAGAGCCTGTCCAAGTTCTTTACCCTAACATAGGAACAGTCCCACTGAGACATAGGCTCAACAATGGGACGTTCACTCATGTAGTCCAGAGTGGTCTCAAACTGGCTACGTATCTGAGGATGAGCTTGAACTCCTGATGCTTTGGCCTCCACGCCCTCAGCACTGTGGTTACAGGCATGAGCCACCACATTCAGCTTTCAACATCACTTTCTAAAAGGTTTTTAAGCCCCAAAGAAGAGCCTCCCTCCATACCTGGAGAAGAACCCTCTTTCATCCACATCCTTAACAGTGTCATTAACACACTGACCTTGCTTAGAGGAAGCAGGCCTAGAATGGTGTCTGGAAAGCAGCTGGCTTCCAACAGTCCTACTTATCCCTGCCTCCTTCCTTGTGTCAAACTAGTGTGAAGTCCGAAGGCTCTCCCTGCCCAGTGCAGTCCCTTCTCCCTCTGTTTTCACAGTTCCTTCCCTAAATCTGTTTTTGAGATGCATAATGCTAGGCATGTGACAGAAAAACTGCAAGCCCGATCAGATCCTCACTGCCTCCCAGTGACACACTATCCCTTGAGAATCTTACAGACACCACCACTCTGCTTTCTAGTTACACCTAATTAATTCTACTTACGAAGGAGAATCAGAATATCTAGATATTAACGGCCACCCCTACCCCAACAAATCAAAAGAATCTAGAAAAATAAATAAACATGACTTGGTCTCCATTTGAAAAGTGAAACCAGTATTTCTTGACTAAAGACAAAAACTTTAATACCAGCTATAATGCTCTTCTCATGTAGTCAGATCTCATTTTTAAGATTTATTTGATTTGTATTTATATTTATGTATGTGTGTGTGTTTGCATGTATGTGTACACAAATGCAGTGCCTGTGGCAGCCAGAAGAGGGCATCCGATACCCTGAAGCTGGAGTTACAGACAATTGTGAGTCCTCTAACTAGGTTCCTTTGCAAGATCTTTTGCAGTCCTTTGCAAGAGCAGAAAGTACTCTTAACTGCTGAGCCATCTCCCTACCTCTTTTCATCCTTTAGTTGATTAGATCACAAATCAATTTGTCATCTTAGTTTGTGTTTTCTGCTGATCCATTTGCCTGTCTGCCCCTTTCTTCGAGGCTGTGTTAACAATGGTGACTGTATCTTTTTTTTAGACAGGGTTTCTCTGTGTAACCCTGGCTGTCCTGGAACTTTCTCTGTAGACCAGACTGGACTCAGACTCAGAGATGCACCTACTTCTGCCTGCCGAGTGCTGGGATTAAAGGCGTGTGCCGCCAATTCTTTTGGCTAACCTACTTCTTTTCTCACTTTTCCACAGAAAATTGATTGATTATTTTTCAATGATTGATTTTTTTTAATGAAGTCTTGCTATGTTACCGAGGCTATTTTCAATATCTTAGACTCACGTAATCCTCTTGCTTCAGCCTCCCAGGCAGCTGAGACCACATTCCCCAGCTGTTTCACAGTCAGCTGGTTGATGACTACAAAAACATTTTACTGGGATTTTGACTGGAATTTCATGGAGTCCAATATTAATTTAGGAAGGCTAAATTAAATTTGATGAAAGACTATCTGTTTGTAGTCTTCACTTGTTTTTCTATTCTATTTCTGTTCTTTACTCACTTGCAAAAGTCATGGGTTTCTTTGAACAATATTTATGAGAAACAAATGAAAAACTCACCAATGGACCAGCAGATATAGAAACAAATGCACTAATCAATTGCGTGTGTGGTGTCTTCTCCTCAGGCTTCGAGAAGAATGGAAGCAGAGGCTGGAGAAGAGGCTGAGAATGCTGGACAATCCTGATAATGAGGGAAAGCAAGCTACCCCTGAGAACTGAGTGCTTCTGGCAAACCATCAAGGGCATCTTCTTCTAAAGGAAAAAGACTTCCACGAGTTATACTGACTCACAAGCAGAACTTCCCTATCTGTTCTCCCATTTGAGAAAGGACATACATGTAAACCACCCTGTGCTAATGGGAACTGTATCTAGCTCAACCCTCTCCACACAGAGGACAGGGTAACTGCAGCGGTGGGATGCTTGGATTGTTTAATGTAAAAAGCTCTTTGAATTAGTACCCCTCCCCATGTAGTAAAAGTGGTTCTGCCTTCTATCCCCATCTTGAAATCTAAATGCTTTCCCTGAGCTTGCTTGAGGCAATGACCTTGATGGAATCCGGCTTCTCCACATCTCCAGAAACAGATCACAAAATTGTTGTCTCCTTTCCTCCTTTTTTGTGTATACAAAGATGCCACAGCCTGCAGAAATAAAACTAGTGTGAATTTTGAAATTTCAACAATATGATTTGAAAATAAACTGAATTAGTTTTCTCTTCCTATAAATTTGGGCTTTTTGATGATCATGTTTTATTTAGGCACATGCAGAGGAAGTAGAATCCTGCTGAACAGTCTTGGCTGGCTCACCCTCATCCTTGCTCACCTCAGAATTTCCTGCCTCTGTCAAGTCCTTTCACATTTGTCTTAGTCAGTTCTCTGCGAGTGTCAGCTCCAGTATCCCCAGACACATTCCAGAACTTTGAGTCATCCTCACTTAGCTTCCTGTCTGGTCCAGAGCAAGTTTGCTAGACAAGTGGCATTTACAGCAGCGTGGATGGGGGTTCCTTTGTCTGAGGTTCCTCGAGGCAGGACGGGAACAAAGGGAGATGTGCCAAGGCACATAGGTGGCCAGAGGGAATAAAAGGCTGAGTCCAAGACACTTAGACAGTCCTGGGGAAGCCTGCTTCCCTCTGCTTCTTCTGGAAAACTAACAACCCTCATTATGGCCAAGAACGATGTGCATGGCAGGAGGGGCTGGAGAGACTTCCACCATCCCCCATGGTGAGATTCAAAAGACAGTGCCCAGGCCTCTCCTGTGGGCTCTTATTCAACTTACATTCAACAAAAAGACTGTAAACTAGTTCTGGGAAACGCTGGGCTATGTTCAAAAGAGGATAATCATAGAAAAAGAACTTTGATAAGGACAGAAAACCATGGGAATAAACATCAAGATACCTGACCACGTATGTGAGTCAGAAGTCTTCTGAAAATGTGACAGTTAAAGGGAGATCTAACCTGTAAAAATCATTTCACTTTGTATGTACACACCAACATATCACATTACAGACCCTAAGTACATACAGCTCATGGAAAACAGAACAGGGAAGGTGTAGAAGTGAGGAAAAGCAGGTGGGGGCCTGGAAAGCTGTAGAGAAATGTGTATCTGTAACAGAATGAGGAGAGGGTTCCTCTATAGAAGAGAGGAGGTGGGGACAGGGTAATAGCCATTGCAATTTATAGGTACAGGAGTGGATTGCTTGGATTTTCATTGTTGATTTTTTTTTTCAGAATGTGTGGGGGGGGGGGGCAGGGTCTCATACAGGTCAGGCTGACCTTAAACTATATTTAGCCACTGATGGACTTGAACTCCTGATTCTCCTACCACTGTTCCCTAAGTACATGGATTAAATGTGTACACCACCACACCCAGCCTAACTTTTCCAGATTTCTTGATAAATGAAAACATACACACACATATAATTTTATGTAAATAAATGCAGATAATTATATCACATATGTTGGTTGGCATTCCATAACTGTGGCAAAAACTCACTGTATCTGCTCATCAAGCAATGTATATGACATGCATATTTGTTCATTTGCTTGTTGGTCATTTGTTTAACTTGAGTTCTAGGGCTTAAACTCAGATTGTGTATAGAAAATGCTTACTAACTGATCTCCCTAAACTTTCATGCATGATTTTGACTTTTTCCAATGAGTTAAAAAATATATAAAAATGAATGAAGTCTATGAATAGGCAGTCTACCCTTAAAGCAAAAGAGAAACAAAAAGAGGCCTAGGTCCCAATGTCCCTTTCAAGGACATCCCCCTAATGACAGAACTTCCTCCTACTGAGCCCTGCTTCCTAAACATTTTACTTCTTTTCAATACTTTCAGGGCTAAAGGACAGCCCATTAATACATGGGCACTGGAGGGCACTCGTGATATAAATTGTAGCATTTTGTATACAGATATAATTTGGGGAGTTTGTTTGTTTGTTTGTTTGTTTGTTTGTTTGTTTGAAACAGGGTCTCACTATGTATCCCTGGCTGGCCTGGACCTTGCTATGTATACAAGGTTGGCCTCAAAGTCACAGAGGTCCCCCAGCCTCTGCCTCCTGAATGCTACATCACCACGATGAGCATCTTTATTACTGAAATTTTCTACCAACTCCTCTGTCCTTGTTTGCCTTGGCTTAGAAATTCCTTTGTTTCCCTACTCCCTTCCATCATTGACCTTCACACCCTAGCAATTTATATTAATAATTTCCAACAATTTTCTGCACATTTACACAACCATGCATACACACATCATATAAAAAATTTGTGTGAACATGTTCCTGTGAACATGTTCTTGTGAACATAATACAGAATTGAATCATATTCTATTTTTCTGCATCTTACATTCTTCAATTGTGTAAACACCAAGACTTTACCACTTGAACTGTAAAGCAATGAAAACTCTTATCCATGGGTCCTTTAAATTAACTTGATGTTTTGTACTAGAAAACAGATTCCTTAGGATAGGAAACACAATAAATAGCATTAGAATGAGAAGTTTATGAGAGTACCCTTCTCTCAGTATCTCCAGCAGTAAGTGCTACTGTTTTTGGTTTGTTTTTTTTTTAATTTTTGGTTTGGTTTTTTGCTGCTGCTGCTGCTGCTGCTGCTGCTGTTGTTGTTGTTGTTGTTGCTGTTTCAGACAGAATTTCTATGTGTAGTTTTGAGGCCTGTCGTGGAACTCATTCTGTAGACCAGCCTGGCCTTGAACTCACAGAGATCCACCTGCCTCTAGCTCCTGAGTGCTGGGATTAAAGGCTTGCGCAGCCACCGCCG